CATATTAGTGGCACCAGTGCTTCTTTTTATTATGTTATAATTGGTGTTCTCAATGAAAATTGCTGACGGGTGTTTTATTTCTTTGTACCTGAATCCATTTACTAACCAAATATATACATATCTTGCACGAAATGTTCATTGGTACTGTGAACTGTGAATATGAGCGAGTAGTGCTCTTTGGGTAGTTAGTTTTGCTAGTTCTATTACTGGACCTGCTTTGGGTGAAATGGAGCACCATGTGTCCTAGTTATTACGTCATTTTATCAAGACCAATTTGCACAAAAACAAAGATCGGTCACTTATCTTTATTTTTCTCTTCTCCTAATTGAACTAGCATTGATGAAAAAAAAACAAATCATGCCACTGAGACATCACCTTGAACCACTTGGGTGAATTACAGATTCCATGTTAAACACTATGTAAAAAAAAACAAATAGCAGACACCCATTCCAGTTACATGAAATTGAGCCGCGCTTGTGATGTGTGATAATAGACACATCTAATAAGCACGTCTCTGATGTGTTGGTCCCCAAAGAAACTAGTTGTATGAAGGCATATATCAGAGACGCGGATCAAGAAAATACGCCTGTGATATATGAATTAGACACGACTGTGATATGGTTTTATATCAATGGCACGTCTAGATTGATTCACGTCTTGGCATTTTTGCCTCGGACCCAAAAAATTATAAAATCTAGCTAACTCTCGAGTACGTCACTCCACACCAGACCCTCACGTTTGTCTCCAAGAAATATTCTCTCCAAGTCACCTGAGCGGTCAAGCCACTTTCTCTCCTTGCCAGTCACGCTAGGGTTAGTCACTACTACAGAATAGCACTTCACTGCCAGCCTCATCACTGCCGGAATTAGGAGAACCGGCAGTGTTGACCCTTCACTGCTGGTTCTTTGCTCTGAAAACCAGAAATTGATTTTGAGATGTGACCAAACCGGCAGTGATGACAACTATCACTGCCGGTTTGTGTCTCTATCCAGCAGTGGCTTGATAGCCACATATCACTGCCGGTTCAAGCCAAGAGCCGACAGTGATTGGACTCTATCACTGTCGGTTCTATCCATGAACCGACGGTGATAAGCCTACAACACAAAAAGGCTGCAGCCGTCCTCTCCTTCCTCCTCTCTTCCATCCCGAGAACAGAGACGCGCGTTTGGGGCCTTCCCTCCATTGTTGCGGCTGCTCTTCACCATGAAGCTATCGCTTGGATTTTGAAGAATTGCTTGATCTTTTTGCTTTAAGGTTAGTAAA